ACCCAGGACTCAAGAATAAGGATTAGAAGCGGTGCGAACAACATTACCTCTCAACAACGCAGTCCACGGAACCTAAGTTGTATATAACAAGTAAAGAAAAGTATAACCGGGATCGCTTCTCTAAACCTCGCCCCCCTTAAAGGAAATTTCGTCCAAATTAACACAATGAAAAAAAGTTTGATTTCAAAAAATGACAATTCAATAGTGCACAACTTGACCAGAAGACTGGTCAATTTCATTCTCATTTATCAAAAGGCATCTTACAATACTATATAATAAAAACAACATATATTTTTCAACCTGGATCGACTATTATGCATTAGTTATCCTTCCAATGATAGCAATTTCCATATCTAGTTCATTGCGATTGATATATACGAACACGGTTCGGAACAAATGTAATGTAACAACTTAATGGTACACTAAAACTTTTAGTAATGAAGAAAGTTTCGAAGATACGACCCATTTACGAAAACATACTCAATGTTTTACAACTTAGACAAATGTAAGGCTCTTAAGTTCAACCAATATTACAAATTAAATACAAGATTACTAAATCAATAAAACATGTCCGGATATTATCTGGCGGACTGTCAATTCACTCCAAGTGGCTTCCTCCACTTCCGTGATGTTCCACAAAACTTTGACCAAAGGATGGTTTTACCTCGCAAAGCTTGATCCCGCTATCCAAGACCCGAGACCTGGTCTCTCCTCATGACGAAACATCCTGCATCAACCACTAAATCGGTCCAATCCAACACATTGATGGATCCGGCTCATACTTCGAAGCATACTCACATGAAACACGTCATGTACTCCGGATAACTGCCGGTGCAAAGCTAAAGACGATAAGCAACCTCGCCGATCCTCTCAAGGATTCTCAAGAAGGACCATGAGCGAGGGGACAACTTCCGATTTTCCCAAAACCTCATCAATCCCCGCTTGGTGATCTTCAGAAAGAACATGAGTCACCCACTCAAACACCAAAAGGCCTCCTCCTACGGTCGGCATAAGATTTCTGACGGACCTCTGGCGTAATCTCTCTCTTCAAAATCTCCGCTCGAGCGTACAGGCCAAAAATCTGGGCAACTAGTTTTGGTTTCTAAACTCAACCAACTTGAGACAAACCCACCCAACACATCCCATATTGCGGGTTTTATGCGCCGTGGATATAGAGCTCATATGCTTATCTTTGTGAAGTGTGGATATAGCTTATATGCTTATCTGTGAATGTGGATATTGTTGTTATACATATCTGTTGAGAATGTGGGTATAGCTTATATGCTTATCTGTGAATTTGGGATATAGTTTTTATACATATCTGTTGAGAATGTGGATATAGCTTATATGCTTATCTGTGAATGTGGATATTGTTGTTATACATATCTGTTGAGAATGTGGATATTTTATATGCTTATCTGTGAATGTGGGATATAGTTTTTATACATATCTGTTGAGATGATGATAGAGCTAATATGCTTATCTGTTGAAAAAGGGAAAATGAAAAGTAACTTGGACTCATAAGTCGTATGACATAACATGTGATTTATGTGGATGTATCAGTGTTGGCCATCTATCAATTGCTAATCTTTTAGTCATTGTTCATGGTTGGTTTAGTGCATTTCTACTGGGCTGTGGCTCACCCTATATGGGAATATCATTTTCAGGTACAGGTACCATGCCACCTCCAAGGACCTATCTTGGGAGGCTAGTGGCGGACATACTTTTGTCGTTTTATTTATGATGTATTACATGTAAATTCAAGCCAAGGGCTTAACGTGTAAATGAGTTAGTACTCTTTTGTTGTAACCAAGTGTTAACTTGGAAAGCTGTAAGCCCATAGGGCATTTGCTTTTGTTGTTAACATGTAATACTTTTTGTAATGAAACTCTGATAAATGGAAGAATGTGGAACTTTTACATATCAATGCATATCTTTATTGATGGGTTTAATGTTGTTATTTTGAGGGCGTTACAGAAAAAGTCCGCAATTTGGGTTGTCTGCCATATGTAATCTCGCGATCAAGCCACAATGAAAACATGCTCTCAGTATCTCTATCTCAGTTTGCTTTATGCCAGCGAACAGGACCTCGCGCATGCGATGTATGCAAATGGCGGCCACACAAAAGTCACGAATAAGCTACAAGCAAAATACACTCCCAGTACCTTTTCTATGCATCTCACGAAGAGTGTTAGCACTTGCGAAGTTCATGCATCGTGCCCGTGATGTAATGTATAACGCCCGCGATGGTTTACTACCTATATATAGCTGTCTGTTTTACTTATGTAGGCACGTCCCCCGAGTCTGTATTTTGAGTGACTTTTGAGAGAAAGTCGTAGTGAGGTTACATTGTATATTTCTCTCATGTTTGCTTAATGATTTATTCATATTTGTTCTTTTATGAAAATCATCAAGTCTAAACCAAAATCACAAAATGTAACACCCTCAAAATAAACCCATTATATTCATATTTGTTCTTTTATGAAAATCATCAAGTCTAAACCAAAATCACAAAATAGTTCATGAGTGCTGTTTGAGGAGTGAATGTGTCGTGGATTCGACATCTCTCTAGTGAAGGCGAATATCCACAGATTAAATGATAGAGGTCAGCTACTTGTAGGTCTCGAGCAAGCACGTGTGCTTGGATTGGTCGGTGTAAGAAATCTCTTGTACTACTCTTTTTCATAATGAATTGTTATTGTGGTCGGGGGCCGGTGGGTTTTTTTAATCACATGTTGGTGGATTCCAACTGTGGTTTTTCTATATAACACTCTTTGTGTTGTTTGTTATTTATCTTTTCTTTTATTGTTGAGCTCAGTTGGTTTGAAACTCTTAAATCATTAGTCACAAGATCATGGGACTATATTTTTTCACTTTCAATACCTCATTCGTCTCAGATTCACAGACATCAAGCTTGGCATACAAGGCTTGACGATCAATTGAGACTTTGATTGCATCATTCTTAGCCTCAGAAATCTTAAACTTTAATTGTTCGTTTTCTTTCTCACACACCTTATGTTTGGTGATAAGTTTGTGATTCAGCTTTGTCAAGTTGTAACATTCTTTGTATAACTTTTCATATGCTTGACGAAGAACTTCATTGTCTACATCATCATCTAATCTTTCACTCTAATTTTCAGAAGATTCATCATTTTTCAAAGAACCATTCAGTGATCCGTCGTTCAAATTGTCTTCTTGAGTTAAAGTTTCCAATCTTGCGACAAGAGGATTGAAAGTAGGAATCTCCTCTACCACATGCGTGAATATAGCTTATTCCAAGTTTGCATAGAATTCTATGTAGCATCCATTTCCATTTTAAGCGGATCCAAGTTTATGTTCATCTTGGTCTAACCATTGTCATCATCCCAAGTCGTAATGTAGACGTTCTTCTTACTCTTCTTGGAGGGGCACTCAAGAGCAATATCTCCAAACACTTGGCAGTCATAACTAGGGATGGTCATTTTCCCCTACTTTGCTCCACCCCCACATCCCCCGCCCCACTCTATACGGGTTTTTCCCACCCGTTTTGCCCGACCCCCACCTCGATTATATTTATTAAATATATTTATATGTACATAATATAAATATAATTTATTTATTTTCATTATAATAACGTTAAAGTAATAAAATATTATACTTAATATTAATTTTTATTTATTTATTTATTTTCAATCTTATATAACACTTGATACCTTGACCTCTAATGATCTTCTTCTCAAGTTTCCAAGTAATTTTGAGCTTGTCATTACCCTTATCCTTAGAATTTGAATACTTGAAATTAGGCTTTTTCTTCCTCAAATTTTGCTTGAATTGTTTTGTAAATAAAGTCGTCATTTCGAATTCAAGATTGCCATCAATCTCAAGACTCTTTGCATCCTCGTGAGAACTACTAAAAGCAACATCTTTTTGTTTTTTCTTAGAACTCAAAAGCTCGGTGATTCAATCTCAGATTCGTTCAGCGAGGAAAGTGAGCACCATCATCTACCAAGGTGAGCACCATCGCTTCAGATTCGCTTGTTTTTTTTCCCTAAATTAGCATGTTGAATTTTCCTAGCATGTTGAATTTTAATCTCTGTTTTTTTATTACCCTAAATTAGCATCAGTTTGGATTGATCAATCAGTGTAGCTTAGATATTTAGGTAGAATATCTGGTTACATTATTATTATTATTATTTTGAATTCTAAAATATAGAACAGTTCATTATATCTTGGAGATACTTTGATGTTTTGTTTATTATCTCCTAGGGAAATCACTGTTACAATTTACATGACTGCTTTTTTTCTTAATAGTTCTAAGCTGAAACAAATCATGTGTTTGGCTCATCACTAGTCCATTCCATGCATTTAATTTTTTATATTCAGTGAATTGATGATTGAGACATAGTTATAAGATTAGTTGTACATAATTATTCATTTCAACCATCTCATTGCTGATCAGTAGATCATTTTATGGACTTTCCTCTTAATTCCAGAAAATTTTAAAATAAAATGAATTTAGGAGGTATTTGGCTTTGAGTTTGGAACTTTACGGCCAATGAACTATGAACAAATTGCAGAGTTGCTCAATGGTATTGCTGAGAGGTTTGATTGGGATAAAATAATGGGGGGTGACAACATTATTGGACTCAAACAGGTAGACTTCTCTTCCATAACGTTTTCAAAATGCAAAAACTTCTTCTCTAAATCCATGGTAACTGGTTAGTTTTGAACCCTTTTCCAGTTTATACATTGCTTTGTTATGGATGGTGATGCTCGAGATTTTTATGCTTTTGGCACCATTAAATGATATAAATGTTAATTTTTAATTTTTTTTTTTGTTTTTTTACAAAATATCAGTTTTTCAAACAACCAGCTGAAGAAAAACAGTTATTGTGTCTGCCTAGCATTGTGGTGGTCTGAAAGTAGTCTTGATGGCATTCTAGTGGAAGTGGTAGTGTGATGGTGATGGTATCAGTGGTGATAGAACTAGAAATCTTATTGAAACTACAATTGGACAAGATTAACCTATAGCCGTGCATCCTGAATGAAAGTAAGTTTGGATTCACATGTTTAAAGCAAGGGCCTATGAATCTGCGTTTTATGTACACACATATCTGGGATTATATACTAGTTTGATCACCACTATGCTATGAAAATTCAACATTAGCTGGTTTCTTTGCTCTTCAAATCTTTCTACTTTTGAAGAGATTCAAAAATTGGGTTTTAAAAGAAAAGCATTTCACACCATTTCTCTCATCTTTTAATTATCCAAACAGGTAATTAGGGGCAAGAGATTTCTATTTATTTTCTTTTCTTTCCAAATCACCTAATCTAAGCGGGTGGCTAATGAAAATTTCCAAAATGTCCGTTAGACAATCATTGGGAGGGTTTGGGATTTAATCCTCTTCAAACCTTAAGAAGAACAATTTATTCTTTTGCTTAGATACACGTTACGAAGAATAAGTTGTCAAACACTTTTCAAATTAACAGTATATTCTAAAATCTTATTTTGTATTAGTCCCATAACTATTTATCATATTCACCAGAAGGCAAACTCGTGCAGAATCATTGGCAACCCATTTCAAGCAGCTCCTCCAGAGGCTGACTAACTTTGAGTTCTATGGATCCTTTTTTTAAATTTTTTTATTTTATTTAATATAATATATAAACAATTTACTTTACTTTCAAGTTTGAATCAAATAGTTCATTATATTTCTGGATTTGTTATTAATTCAATTTTTAACTTTGCCACAGGATAATATGGAGTACAGGTTCACGAGTGTATAAGAGATTCACCTTGCCCTCCTCAGTGATTATGGTACTTCTACTTTGCAGTAACTAAAGTTTCTTACCTCTTTTCCATTCATAATAACACTTCGTAGATGATGGCATACCCTGACATTTTTGCTTCTTTATAGATTTTTTTAATCTCATATAAAAGTTTTGGCTACATTACAGAACTGTGACAGTGTAATTATTAGCTGTCTGGGTTAATCTTTTCCCTTTCTAACATCTACATCTCTTTGTACTTTACGTCAAGTGTGTGGAGTCATTTTTCCAGTCCTTTCCTCTTCTTGTTCAGTTAAGCTTCCAAATTAACAGGAGAAAAAGTTGTAATACCGAATGGAATGACTGTTATGTTATTGCTGCAAACAAAATTGCTTTTGGGAGTTTGGTTATTTCAGTTTTGAAGACACCAAACAGTTTGGTTTTTGTATGGAAGAGTGAGATGTGTGATTACTTTTGTGAGTTTATCTCTTCACGATCTTATGGGTGATTTAATTCTAGTCAAGTCTGGGGCTGGGGTGCAGCAGTGCTTGTCTTTCAAAGATGCAGAGGTCTGTGACTTGAATTGGATGTATTTGTCGTAGAATGTAATTATACAGCATGTCTCTGTTAAAAAAACTTGCTTAATTATCCTCATCAATTTGTCTATCTTATATGTTATACTTGCTTTTAAATCATTGTTTGATTTTACCAAGTTCAATCATTTTCACAAATATTTTAATTCAAATTATAGGCATGCTGGTGTCATATGGGTGATATGTCTGAGGCATCACTTTGTGTTCTACAAAGTGATAGTTTGACAATCTATAAGACAACAGGTGAGTAGTTTGAAGAGGGCGGTTTTGATTACAAGAAAGCAATTGTTGATTCAATTGTTATCCTTATAAGAGACATCCCAGATGCCAAAGAAAATGGGCTACTTCACCTTTGTGAATTTTGCGATATCTCATAATTCACTATGTTTTCTTTATTCTGAGAAGAGGAATGGTTAACCATTTGTTTGCAGGTTCGTGATAGAAGAAGGCCCAACTGCTCCTGGTAAAAAGCCCCTGGTAAAAAGGCCCCTGGTAAAAAGCCAACTGGTTTAGGTGCTGCTCCAACTGCTCCCACGTCCACTGTTGATGCTTATGAAAAGCTTCTTTCCTCTATCCCAGAGTTCTCGAGCTTTGGGAAGCTTTTCAAGGTTTTTTACCAGACACTCCTTCCATTATATATACTGATTTTGACTATTGTTGATAATCTGCTGATTCAGGTTTTTTTTTCATATAAATTTTTGTTTCCTGTACCAGTCTTCGGCACCTGTGGAGCTTACAGAGGCTGAAACAGAATATGCAGTTAATGCTGTTCAGCACATTTTTGATAGGCATGTGGTGTTCCAGTACAACTGCACAAATTCAATTCCCGAGCAATTACTGGAAAATGTAATGACCATCTTAAAAAAAGTAGTAGTTCCTTTATTCTGAAATTATTTTGGGATAATCTCTCAATATTTTTGTGCTTACTGCCAGGTCACCGTTGTTGTGGATGCTTCTGACACCGAGAAATTTACTGAAGTGTCAACAAGGCCTCTAAGATCTCTTCCATATGATTCACCAGGACAAACATTTGTGGTATTTGAGAAACCAGAAGACATTCTTCACTTCAAACAACTCCTCAATGAAAATCCAAGCCTACTTCTAAAACTAACACCTCATGAAAACACACCACTTCATATCGCCACACAGTTTGGACACAAAAACATTGTTGCTGAGATTTACAATCGGCAGCAGTTCCTCCTTGCTCAGCCGAACTTGGACGGAGACACACCTCTACATGTCGCTGCGAGAGCTGGCCGCATCTCCATTGTTAGTTTTCTAGTCAACGAGCTGTTATCTTTGTCTTATGGAGACATCGAAAACAGAGGAAACAGAGAGACTGAGATTCTGAGGATGAGAAATAAGTGGGGCAACACAGTTTTGCATGAGGCTGTGAGGAACCATAATCTCAGAGTGGCTGAGTTTTTGATAAAGGTTGATCCTGAGCTGGCCTGTTTCGAGAACAACACGGGTGAATCCCCATTGTATCTGGCTGCTAGAGATGGAATGCTGGAAATTGTGAAGCGCATACTGATGGCAGCTTGTTATTCGGCTTATGGCGGGTCAGATGGCCAAACAGCTTTGCATGCTACCATCGTAGAGGGGAATTTTGGTAATTTTATACTTCTCTCATTTATTTTTTTTATGCATTTATTATAAAAACAAACAAGAATGCAGCTTGCCTCCAGTAAATGACTGGACCATCCAGTTTTTAGTTGTGGGCCTACTATAGAGCCTATTTTGATGATACATTTAATTGGTCTTTGAGGTATATGTTGATTGTTTATCAAAAATATCAAATCAATTTGATAATCGTAACTATATGATTTCATAAATAAACCCACATTTTACCGTTTCATTTTATATGTTATTTAGATGCCATGGAAGCCCTTGTTAGAGCGAAGCCAGAACTAATAAAAGAAGCTGATCATCATGGTAGAACCCCACTCTACTACGCAGCATCTATGGGAGACCGCAGGACAGTTCAAAGATTACTTCAACTTCACACCGACATAGTATACATGTCCGATCAAGATGGGCTGTCACCACTTCATGTCGCGGCATCCAGAGGCCATACCAACATAATCAAAGAGATCATCCAATGTTGCCCGGATTCTGGAGAACTGCTGGATTTAAGAGGCCAAAACACTCTTCACTTTGCAGTCCTCGGTGGAAAATCTAGTGTTGTTAGGTACATTTTAGAAACAACAGAGCTAGAGGGGCTTATAAACCAGGCAGATAATGATGGAAACACACCTTTGCACTTGGCTACCAGAGAGAGAAAAAGTTGGATAGCACGTTACTTGATTTGGGATGAGAGAGTAAATCAAAGAGCCAAGAACAACATTGGCCAAACAGCCATCGACTATGAGGAGTCGATTAGAAAGGCATACTCGAGATTTCCAAAGGTAATTAATATTGGTAGAGTTCATAGTTCATATAATTAACTGTTTAATTAGGTACATTGATTTTGGAGATGGCTTCTCTTCAGTTGGATCACCGAGAGGTGTTGTTTGGCTATTGATGTTCCATCAACTTAATTTTTTGCACGGATTCTCACAGTTATCTTTGTATTATGCATCTAGAAATCAAAAAATTGGAGACAACCTTGGTCCCTAAATACATTGACCACCAAAGAAAAGATTCCCCCAAGCACAAGCAAGGAGGGAGCTGCAGCTGCAGCTGCTGCTGACAAAATGGAAACTTACAAGCAAATGGGTCACACCCTCTTAATGGTAGCAACACTAATTGCCACCGTCACATTTGCAGCTGCTTTCACAATTCCCGGAGGCTTCAACAACAACGTTGGCCCAGATCAAGGGCAGGCACTTTTGCAATCAAGCCTACATCTTAAATGGTTCCTTGTCTCGGACTCCATCGCTATGAGTTTCTCTGTGATTGCAGCTTGCATACTCTTCTGGGGAGCTGTTATTGCCGAAGAAACCTATTTCTACTACTTTGCTAGTGCCACTGTGCTTACACATGTTGCACTGTTTTCAACTGGTGTCGCCTTCACAACTGGCTTGATTGCTATTATGCCCAATCAACCGTTTGTTAGCATCTTGTGTCGTATAATAGGGTCACTTTTCCATGTCGGGAACTTCCTGTTTTTTTTCCGGTTGGCACAGATTTTTTCTTTAGGGGAAGTTTGTCAGTTCTTGATTTTTCGCCTCAAGACTAAATTTATCAAAAGATGAACTCTTGCAAATATGCATAATCCCAAATTGATCATTCCATGTAAATGTACAAAGCAGAACTATTGGAATCTGTGATTTTGATCTTTGAATTCGTGATATCGATCCAACTCTACATGATCCAATACGGTGTGTGTCAGAGTTGGGGTTTTCATTCTGACAAAATTTTCAAATTTGAAGACTTATGGGAGATAATGACTCTACTGCTCCATTTTATTGTAGAAGCCGAAGAGGACTCCGAATAGTTTTTTGTGCTCTTAATAACGACAACTTGCTGTTTAGAAGTTTACTTTGACTGGAATTGATTAACATTTTCAGAATAAACTACACCATTCAAGAACTTCAAGAATGAATGAAACATAAACAAGTCTCAAACCTTGGATACTCCAATGCTTGAACATCATGATTAAACTAGCGAGTTTGAAATTTTGAATACCACCACCACATTGTTTGATTATGGCTGAGTGAAAAATAAGATAATATTTGAAGGATTGTTTGTGACCGTTGGATTGTATTGGGATGATTCCAAAAAATGACATTCAATAATTCACAACAATCTAGACAAGACTGTAAACGTATCCAAATACATGTTGAATTGAGAATAATTGGGAGACAAAATCTTAATAGGAAGCTCCAAATGTCCCCTGGTTCAATCTAGACCTGTCTAAGAGCATCTCTAATTCTTCATCAAATTCAAATTTACTAACAAAAAATGCTAAAAACGTACTCCAACCATTCCATCTATGCCAAATCAATTTGAGGGAAGGATAATTTTTTTTTTTATCAAATTAAGGATGAACCAAATCTTTTATCATTTTTCAACAGCCATATTTTTACTCAAATTTGATTAAATTAATTTTATTTAAAAAAAAAAAGAAGAATAAGAAGTTTGGCTGGAAAAACCATTGATGATAAAAAAGAGAGTAAAGAATGAAGTTTGTAATCAAATTTTCAATTAAATTTGACGAAAAAGAAAAAAAGATTAGGATTGAAGATCGTCTAATTACTTCAGACAAATGCCAACTGGCAACTTTGTCCAAGTCAACTACACGTAAATAATGGCATCAAATATTATAAACTCTTGGGGGCAATGTAATGACATTATAAAAACAAACTTATAAAACCATCCCCACATTAATCCAAATATTAGTGCCTTACTAGAAACCCACAATGGATTAGAGACTATACAACTCTGCAAAATCAGGACACATTCTTTACTTCAAACAACTCCTCAATGAAAATCCAAACCTACTTCTAAAACTAACACCTCATGAAAAGACACCACTTCATATCGCAACACGGTTTGGACACAAAGACATTATTGCTGAGATTTACAATCAGCAACAGTGCCTCCTCGCTCAGCCCAATTTGGACAGAGACAAACCTTTGCATGTCGCTGCAAGCGCTGGTTGCATCTCCATAGTCAGTTTTCTGGTCGAAAGGATGTTATCTTCGTCTTACATAGACATCAAAAAAAGAGAATAGAGGGGTTGAGATTCTGATGAGGATGAGAAATAAGTGGGGCAACACAGTTTTGCATGAGGCTGTGTGGAGTCATGGTGTAAGAGTGGCCGAGTTTTTGATAAAGGTTGATCTTGGGCTGGCCTGTTTGGAGAACAACACTGGTGAGTCCCCTTTGCATCTGGCTGCTAGAGATGGAATGGTAAAAATTGCGAATCATGTACTAATGAAAGCTCGCACGTCTGGAACTTATATATTTTCCTATTGATTTGAGTGCTGTGAGATCCTAAATAGTGGGCCGAGTGTAGTGAGAATATATATTGTGTGTTTGTGCATTTATACAGCAGCTGTTGTGTATTACCTGCTGTTGTATATCTGGCACTTCTGGAACTCATGTATTTGTCTATCTTGGGCAGGGTCTGCTAAATTCTGGAAGTTGGCAGCAAGGAGGGATGGCTACCTTAGGCGCCTCAAGTGTGAAGAAAGCTTTTATTTTAATTGTATATATCTGTTGAATCCATTATACTATGGTTCTATTGTTTTGGTGGATGTTGTAGACGTCCCCGAACGCCCCGGGAGGGTTAAGTCCCGTTCTGTTCATATGGGGTCACTACAGCTCGGACTCTTAAATGTCACGGTTCCTAATCTGAACCGAAGAGTCCAAATTCGGCAAATCGTTTTGAGAAACTGATTTTTTTTGAAAAAGTAGTGTCAAACATGGACTGCTTTGCCAGATACAGAGTCGCCACCTAAATATTTTTATTTTGGGAAATTTAGGAAACCTGACTCGGTGCCAAAAGGCCACGCGTCCGTCATCACCAAAGTTGCCTCGGCTCGGGAACTTGGGTACGATTGGGGAAGGTCACTTCGTGAGCACCCCCGCTCGCCCGATCATAGACCGGCCTCTACTAACCATGATATCTAGTTTTGAAAACATTGCGAGTTCTTATTCCGGTTTATTAGCCTAGGTTAATATGTGATGCACACAGCATACAAATATAGATTGAGTCGCCTGAATTGGAACAAAACATTTCATGCTTGTTTTTGAAAATGGTTTGCTACCCGCAGGTAGGCTTTAAAACATTTGATGATTTATTCCAATTTAAGTAACCCAACCTTCACCCACAGGCATTCAGGCAGTTATATCACATAAGCAAATAGCCTCATGGTAAGCATGCTATCATGGCAACACTCACACGCATGCAAGGATGCTAAAAAATGACATCCATTCGAGTAGTTTTGGGACTCGCAGCTAGTTTGAATCTGGAACTTGAACAAATGGATGTGAAGACAGCATTTCTCCATGGTGATCTGAAGGAAGAAATTTACATGGAGCAGCCAGAAGGTTTTGAAGTCAAAGGGAAAGAAAACTTAGTCTGCAGATTGAAGAAGAGTCTCTACGGCCTCAAACAAGCGCCGAGACAGTGGTACAAGAAGTTTGACTCATTCATGGTAGGTCATGAAGCTGGAGATTTTGGTACAGTGAAAATGGGTAACTCCAGTTTTTCAAAAATTGTGGGAATTGGTGATGTTCATATCCAAACCAAAGTTGGGTGCACGATGGTGTTGAAAGATGTCAGGCATGTTCCCGATTTACGCCTGAATCTTATTTCAGGGATAGCCTTAGATCGACAAGGCTATGAGAACTACTTTGGCAAAGGCATATGGAAGTTGAAAAAGGGATCTCTCGTGGTAGCCAAAGGACAGGCAATTGGCACACTATACAAGACTCATGTGGAGGTGAATTCAAATAGTCTCAACGCAGCAGAAGATGAGACGTCACCAAATTTGTGGCACAAAAGGCTGGGTCAC